GCACTGACCCCTGAGGGACCTCACTAGACACTTGCCTGCATTATCACCTTTGCAACAGCAATGTCAGCGTTAGCAGAGGAGAAGAGGAACCTGCTGGGATGTTAGCAGTTTAACATGTCAGAAATTTGGGTCTGTTTCCCCAGCATCCCTCTTTCTAGACAGAGTACAACCAGCGCTCCGCCCAAAATGCGCTTGCTTGCTTTCTTGGTGGTTTTATCTCATGACAGCACTGCAGTGCTTTTCTTTTGCCTCGTATCTGCAGCCAAACACACATTCTGCTGTACAAACTGCCAGCCAGCTTCTCAGTCTTCACGAAGTTTTGAGGGTATAGGTACCTGACTTAGTGGTAGTGCTTGTGTTTTGCCTGTGCTGGTGCTGCCTCTGAGGAGACAGGTAGAGAGAAAAGCCTCCACTCTCACTATCTCCATCCCCACTTTCACCTCACCCCCTCACATGGCTGTAGAGGTGTTGGACCACAGCCTGCACCCCACTGCAGGGGCTGCACGAGCCCCAGCAGCCACCACTGCCAGCTGGGTGCTCTGTCTTCATTTGTGCCTGTCCTGGTTTGAGCTACACAGAACTAATTCTGTTCAGTGACTTTATTTTTCAGCTCAGTATCTTCTAAGAGGCTGCACTTTCTGAAGTTAAGAGCGTGGTTCACAGGCAGTGTCTGCTACTAGAAGTGATAATGCCTGATGTTTATAGTTACTACCAGGGATTGGGATGCAGAAAGGCTCTTGTTGATACTTATTCCTGTAGTGATCAAGGTTACTGCTGGATCTTGTGTAATGTACTGAAGGTGCTGGGAAGTAAAAGGGTCATGAGGAAGTTAAAAAGTCACACCTTTGGGGACGAGTGGACAGGACAGATGACCCAAAGCTGATCAACAAAACATTCCATTCCATATACATCATAATCAGTGTAAATCTGAGGGATCACGGAGGTTAAGCCCTCTTCTTCAATGGCTGGTGTCCAAGAAGGACTCCGTCCGTTCTGCCCTGGATTTCAATCCAGCTCCTCCATCCAGCTCCCTTCTGCCACTGAGCCTGGGACTTGCCTGGTGCTTGCCTACTCTGCAGCATCAGTGGTGATTGCTGTTGGGATGGAGCGTTGGGCTCAGTATTAGTTCAGTATATAACTGTATACACTTAATTATGTCATTTTTTAAATTTTCTTATCTTTGTTTCCTTTTCTTTTCCAAATCATATCTCTCTCTGCCTTATTCCCCTTCTTCTTTGGGAGGGGAGAGAGCATCTGTCAGTCATCTAGTGAAAGGCCCATCTCTTAACGCGTGGTGGTGCCCTGCTCATAAAAAAACACCCCAAAACAGGCAGCTAGTATTAGGTGGTATCTAAGGAAGCTTACAGGGTAGAAGTTTACAAACTTAACTCTTTTAACCACCTGGTTAAATGGTTTAGCTGGCCGTAGCACTTCACAGCCTCGGCATGTCCTCGCAGCCAGGGTTTGGTAGCTGGGAGCCAGTTCCAGCCCCAGCGCCGTGCTTGGTCAGCGCAGAGCCCGATGCCTGGCTGGGGAGCTCTGGCAGAGCCCCGACCTGCGTGCACAAACCTCCGGCAGTGAGCGTGTTATCTTACAAATGGCATTTCACGTGCAGCCCTGCCAGAAGGAAAGCTCTCTTGTTCTGCAGAAGTGCGTGCGGTTGGTTCGCCACAAACTCTGCCGAAGGAGCTGCTGCCCATCTCGGAGAAAAGCAACAAAGCGCTGCACACGAGTTCTGTAAAGAAAATGTTTTATTTAAAGTGTTAAATACCATCACCAGAATGAGTTTGATTTACATTAGTTGGTGTTTATTACAGGCCTAATCTGCCCTTTTTTTTTTTTTATTCCCCAGCTGTAATTCCTTTTAACTTTTTAAAACGTACTATGTACAAGACAGCAGTGATCACTGGAATAGTGCTATTTACATGACTAAACCGTAAGTAAGAGTTGCAGACGTGTGAAAATTAAAAAAAATACATTAATTTTTTTGAAAATAAATACTGCATAATGACAAGTATGTACAAACCTTCCATGCGTCATGTCCTTGATTTTAAAATTTGAAATAATTTATATAGGACTATGCATACAAGAATGTGTGAGCACATCTCACAGTATCAGGAAAATTGTTATGTATTTTTGTTTAATATCCTAGGGGATATTGTAGAATGCACATTAGTAGTATTTATTTGCTGCTGGTAGACAGGTGCCTAAATTATATCAATAAATATAATTTTACCAGTCTGTCCATTAACTTCTTAACAATAATCCGTTATATAAACTCTGAAGACAAGACACAATCTTGATTTATATGATATTGCACAAAGTAAAAGGCATTTTAAGTGAAACTGTTATTACTTTTGCCCTCTCATGAGGCATGTACAATTTCTTAATGGGAAACTTCAACAGATTTTTCAAATAAAATCAGAATAACTCTGTGTGGCCTGAAAGGTAAATGTAATGTGTATTTCAAAAATTATTGCAAGGTTTCAATATTAAACCTTAAATAGGTATTAAAGGCATACAAAGACCCAGAAAAAAAGGATTTTGTTATTAAATGGTAGCCAGTTACATTCCCTTTAAATAATGAACTCTAATGAGAAGCTTGAACTTGCAGCACCACCCAACGGCAGTGACTGTCTGCTACAAAAAACTGGTTTTGAAGATCCATTGGCTGCAGTGAGCGTTCTGGTAGTGGTGTCTGTGGTACTGATAAGCTTTCTTTAAGGCTATTTTACCAACCGAAGACTGATATCTTCCAGACTGATATTACCTAATTATGTCCTTTGCAACACAAATGTAGTTTATGAAAATTGAACTTTACAGCAGAAAAACTGTATGAATTAGTAACTTTTTTGTATTCTCAAAAATGTAGCAATTAATTTCGCTTAGTGCAAATAAAATGTTTAAACTTATCTCCTAAAAATCAACCACGTACTTAATTTTCCTCTTTCCAAAAACCTTCAAGAAATGATAGTTCAACCTTTGAATGAAAGATGCTGGTGCTGAAAACAAATTTATTGAAGATGTCTTACAGTGGCCACATGATTCCAGTATTTTGCTGTAGAATTCAATTTGAAGGTGAGAAAAAAATGAAAATAAGTTACCATGCACTGTACAATAAACTGCAAAAAGTTCAAATATCTTCTTTATCAAATACATGCTGAATTACATTAATGTACTCCCAAGCCATGTTGCAAAATCATTTTCAACATGCTTGAAAAAAAGTAAGTTCTTAAACAATATTTTTCTCAAATAATTCAGAAATGCAGAACAATCTGCAACCCTGAACCAAATGTGGGGCATTAGAGAGTAATAAGTCAAAAGGTAGCCATTTTAGAATATGATAATCATCCTGGGAGGTAGAGGAGGAAAAAGAGCAAAAGGAAGAAGGGAGACGGGGAGGAGAGACAGAGAAAGGAGGAGATAAAAGAAGTGTACAATTTGCACATTATGGTGAACTTTACAAGGCTTGTACCTTTTACATTTAAATAAATTTAATATATTACACTTACTTCTTGTCACATAAACAGAATTTTAAATATTTGCTAGAAATTATTTTTTATTTTTAATATATGTCTGCAAAAATACAGACCATGACTGGTTTAAAGAATGATAAACGTGGTGTGTCTTTGTATCACCCTGTTGCATTCTCTTCCCTTTAAAACCATGCACTAGTGAAATTTATTTTTAAAAATAATATAAATTGTTGAAAATGGCTGATTTATTCTTTTTTTTTTTTTTTGCAAGTTGCAGCCCCAAGAAAATAATTTAAGTGTACAGCTAAATCTGTGTCCATGCAAAAAAGTTTCTTTAATTTCATACAGTACAGTATATCCACAGAACTTTATTTTTCGGAGCGTCCATCATATCTGGGGTTTTGCTGTATCTATAGCTGGAGGTATGAAGCCCACCATTTTAAGTTTTGAAACTTTTCAGTATGAAGAGTTTTCAGATCGCGAGCAACTGTTTCAAACGACAGTTGGCTATTCCAGCATCCTTACATTCTTCTTTTCTTCCAATGTCTACTAATCCACTGACTTGTAACATGGCTTCATGGGAGGGTAACTCCATTTCTGTGGCATAACCAAGCTTTAGGAAAGGAGGGCACATAAATAAAGAAACGGGAGCGACAAAACAGATATGCCATTGAAAAGGACTTGTGTTGCATGAAACAGATTGATTCTTTTAGTTTAGTCCATGGCTTCAGATTGGACCAAAACTGAGAGTCCCTGAACTCCAAACCGATCAGTTCTTCATGACTTCAGTCCTTCACCTGAGGGCCTTCCGTAGGGCACAATGTGTGCAACTTCCTTGAGAACACAGGATCGCGTTGCAGCCCTAGAAACAGGCTCAGAAGACACAACATTAAGCATGCAGTGTTACCAGGGTTTGCGACCTGTAATTTTCATTTTTTTTGTAACGCTGGTTGCTATGACAACAGTTTCACAGCTGCTATGAGCGAGAATACGAAGGTCCTGTTGAACTTTCAAGAGATGATTGGGAAGCTCTTCTAGTGAGAGGAGCTAAAGTTGGGTCTACTAGGGAAGAAGGAGGGAAGAGTTTGAACCACCCAATCACCATGTTGGACAGGTCCAGTTCATCTAAAAGTATCTGTGCCACTCCCATAAAGGATTTGTGATCCATACGTCCATAGTCTCCCCAAACAATTATCTGTAAGCAAAGGAAACACAAGAAAACAGAAAAATTTCAGCAAAGGTGACAAGAGATTCAATTTGTCAAAAGTCTCGATTTATTTAATTATAGTAAGGAATTAAATATTTGACTGTGAGAGAAGGAGCCCACACCTATGGCAGAAGCAAAATGATCTACCACTAACTTTTGCTCAGCACCTTCCGCGTCACGATCCTGCATCAACAGTTATTACTGCAGTATTTATCTGCTCAACAAGGTTTTAAAACAGCAGAACTTGCCAAATCATAAAATCATAGAATGATTTAGGTTGGAAGGGACCGCAGAGATCATCTAGGTCCAATCCCTGTGCCATGGTAGAGACATCTCCCACTAGATTAGGTTGCTCAAGGCTCTATCCACAGAATCACAGAATGTGGAAGTGACCTGAAAAGATCACCTAGTCCAAATCCCCTGCCAGAGCAGGATCACCTACAGTAAATTGCACAAGTACCCATCCAGGTGGGTTTTGAATGTCTCCAAAGAAGAAGACTCCACAACCTCCCTGGGCAGCCTGTGCCAGTGCTCTGTCACACTCACAGTGAAAAAGTTTTTTCTAATATTTTTATGGAACCTCCTATGATCCAGCTTGTACCCAGTACTCCTTGTCCTGTCATTGGACGTCACTGAGAAGAGCCTGGCTCCGTCCTTCTGACACTCCTCCTTGACATATTTATAAACATTTATGAGGTCACCCCTCAGCCTCCTCTTCTCCAAGCTAAAGACACCCAGCTCCTTCAGTCTCTGCTCATAAGGGAGATGTTCCAATCCCTTAATCCGTCCTGGCCTTGAACACTTCCAGGGATGGAGCATCCACACCCTCCCTGGGCAACCTGTTCCAGTGCCTCCCCACCTTCAGGGTAAAGAACTTCTTCCTTAGATCTACTCTAAACCTAGGCTCTTCCAGCTTCCACCCATTACCGCTCATCCTATCACTACAGGCCCTTGTAAAAAGTCCCTCCCCAGCTTTCTTGTAGGGTCCCTTCAGGTACTGGAAGGCAACTATAAGGTCTCCTCAGAGCCTTCTCTTTTCCAGGCTGAACAAGCCTAACTCTCTCAGCCTGTCCTCACAGGAAAGGTGCTCCAGCCCTCCTCTGGACTCGCTCCAACAGCTCCAGGTCTTTCTTTTGTTGGGGACTCCAGAGCTGGATGCTGTATTCCAGGTGGAGTCTCACAAGGGCAGAGTAGAGGGGAAGAATCATCTCCCTTGAGGTGATGCCAAAGTCTGAAACCCAATTCAGTGAAAACTGTACAGGTGGTCTTTTCAGATTCAGAAGAATATTGATGCAAATTACCTGTAAAACTTTTCCTTGGGGACTTTCTTCAAATGACAGGAGTTGTTGATAAAGTGGTTCCAGCGTTTTTCTTGCTACCTTTGTTTTCTTTTTGGCTATGCAGACTCCATTTTCTAATAGATACACCTTTACATACGGTGCTTCGAAAAAAAAAAAAAGAACAATGAGTAAAGAAGATCCAGATTTTTTGCATTAACAGATGCCCTGTTCTATCATTATATGATAAAACCTACCTTTTACTGGACGTAAAACTTATATGAACAAATCTCTACAAGCAATATATTGACATTTATTCACATGCAAAGAATCCACACATTTTCTTTACTTTCCTCCCTGATATAATTTTTGTTTGTCTTTGGGTTTTGGTTTTTTTTACTTAATTTAATGACTCTTTGGCCATGAAACAATTCAGATTTTGACCTGGAAAAATCAGATATTCCTATATATAGTATATACTGTACAGTATGCAAAATAGGCTTGTTAAGTAAATTAATGACTTGCATTGACATTGGTGAAATTTGGATCAATGCTCCAAACTGTTAATAATTTAAAATTATCTACAAGGTGAAAATCAGTGAAGAAAAGACTCTGACACAATTTCTATTCTGGCAGAAGAGCTTGCTAAAAATATCATTATATTGTCCTTTTCATATAGTGTTTTAGGACACCAGATTATAAAATAAGAAGTAAGTATCAAATACTGGTCTACTTTTTGAGTAGGCTTGGGTTTTTTTCCTCCTGAAAAATGGTTGATATTTTGTATTATTATTTCAATGCATTATGCATTTCGGTGTACAATATGTACTCTACTAACATGTGAGGTTACTAAGAGTTTACCCAAGTTTAACAGCAAAGCCTCAGAAGTTGGGAGTCTGATGGATTTTTTCTGGCAGAATTCTATTCTTGTTGCTAAGAATTTTCTTCCTTACCTGGCAGTGTCTTTGAACCTGGTTTTACAACAAGGCCACGGGCTCGGATTATTTCTACTTCCAGTTGTCCTTTCTTGTCCATCATTCCCACCTGGATATCTCCTAGAAAATAAGAAGAAATCCCGGCATTGTAATACAGAAATACCTAAATACATGAAAAGCTATGGGAAATACTTGGATGAACATGTGATGACTTGTACAGTCTGAATTCCATCAGTAAATATGATCTGGATTTTACCACTACTAGATAATTTAACACCTATCTGCTTTACTACTATTTACATTAGTAAACAATTAAAAAACACTGCAATAACATACTGTCTCCCATTTCTCATGCCCCTATCTCTTCAAATTAAATTCTTTCTGTCTTAAGAATTTCAGATTAAAAAAGGAAGCAAAGCAATTAGTACAAAGCAGCTCTGTAAAACTGCTTGAAATCTCTTCACCCTGCCTCCAGTTTAAGACTAGGTACGAAAAGGCACCTCATAAAAATAACAAAGTCTATAACCACAATAATAACAAATACCTTGCACCTAAATTCCCATTATTATTCAATACTATCCAAGTGATTCAGAGAAAGGATTGGTCTCATTAGCCACATTTTAAAGATGGAAGAAGAGAGAAAAGACTGAACTTCTCAAAGCACCTTTCTACTTTTGAGTGTCTTAATGAGCATCCACAATTATGTTCAACTTTGGCTGAGGTCACAGATTTAGTCTTAACGGAGTTGTTCAAAACCACATGGGAAATCTGTATTTAAAGACTTAAAATCTAGATAATTTCTAAGTTCTAATTACCAGACCCAGTATTATATCACATCCGTAGGACATAAATGCTTACCCATTGATGGTGTTGCCAGAGTCTGTCGTCCTACAAGCTGGGCAGGACCTAGTCCATCCAGAAAATCACTGAACTGGCTGTCTGCAGCCAACCTCACACCAGGGAAAATCAAACTAAAAAAAAAAAATTGAAAAAAAAATGCACTTGAATTTGCCTTGTTTTGTTTTCCAGACATTTTGCACTTAGTGTTTATGGTTTTGGTGCTACTGTTCCTAAAGATCTTATTTACACTGATAAGATTACGAAACAATTACTGTAATTTTCAAAATTTCACAGTGTTCAACAAGCAACAATTTAGCCTCCAACATATAACCAAACAGGTGAGTGAAGCACTAATCCTCACTGGGTCTAATTTCCACAGTAATACTTTTCCATCACATTCTCTTTCCCCAATATATTAAAGACCACTTATTAATTATTGTAGTGTTCATATGAGACCAGTTCGATAAGGTACTAATACATGCCCTTACCAGCAATTTAGGTGCATAAAGGTAAAATTGCTCATTTTCTCAGTGTGAACTCAAAGTATGAATGTCAAATGCATCCACTGAAATTATTACATTAGACTGAATACTGGTTACTATTTTTAAAATCACCTTTTAAAATCAGCATTCATTATAAATATTTTGTTAAAAATGTCTTTGAGAATGACATCTATTCAATAATGGAACTGAAATCCATTGTGGCAAATGACCAAAGTAACTTTAAAATTCAAATTCTTGCCATAAATTATCTGTTACCCATTACAAGTCAAGAGCTAATGCGATTTGTAAGGACCAACCATAAATTAATGTCCATCTGAAGCGCATATAGTGCATCATCCTGGACATGCAAGATATACTGTCCAATATAGGTGTATCATCCAGTGCTGTGAGTAACACTAATTAATCTATCCACAACAAAATATTTTAAACAGTGTCTTGGACATACCACTCAGAATTCTTTAACTTGGGTTTTTATGACAAGCATGATATGTGACAGTCTTGTACTTCTGCCCAGATAATTTCTTCAGGATTAACGAGCAGAAGCTTTGAAAAACTCTTGAGCTCACGGAAATGCTCTGGAAATGCTTTGCTCTGCAAAGCACAGATGTATGCGAGGAGTTTTCATAAGATAATCTGTCCTTTTCTGTTTTTTTCCCAGTGCCTCGCACCTGCTTCCCCTTCTGCCACACCGCACGCTGATGCTCTGACCCCGCAAGTGCCTTTCTCATGGCATGGCAGAAATAGGCCTCATCCTTCCAGCACCAAAAAGTGTGAGACTCTTTCAGCTATAGGGGAAGACTTAGGCTTAGTCCACCAATGACATAAGCTTGTGAAGGGAATTCTCACTGAACAGGACCTACGGTTCTCTACAACTACCTGAAAGGAGGTTGTAGCAAGGTGGTGGTCAGTCTCTTCTCCTATGTAACAAGTGAAAGGACAAGACAAAATGGCCTCAGGTTGCACCAGGGGGGGTTTAGATTGGGTTGGGAAAAATTTCTTCACTGAAAGGGTTGTTAAGCATTGGAGGACACTGCCCATGGAAGTGGTTGAGTCACCATTCCTACAGGTTATTTAAAAGACATGTAGATGATGTGCTTAGGGACATGGTTTATTGATTGACCTGGCATTGCTAGGTTAACAGCTGGACACAACAAACTTGGAGGTCCTTTTCAACCTAAACAATTCTATGATTGTAAGACTCTACAGCACTCACTGCACTTTAGTCTAAACTATCAGTTTCATGGAGAAACATCAGGTAACCACAGTTATAACTGCCGCTTACTTTCCCTCAGAGCTGTAGCTGTTCATGCTCCCATCTGTTGATTCCCGGCTTGCCTGACGGGTCATCCAGTTCCTCATCTCCACGGCCAGCCCTGTCTCAGTGCTTCTCTGGACGGTGCTCCGCAGCTTTTTGCCCCCTGCTTCTGTGAAGACAAAAGAGAAGTCCCCATGGCACCGCACTGTTGCCGCTGGGCAGCGCTGTGGGCAGCACGCCACTCCTCCGCCTGGCAGAAACACTCGGAAGCCATAAGTGAGTGACCTGTACCAAAACTTCAAATTAAAAATTACCTTTCTTTTTTAAAGCAGCATCGTAAGTCTCTTTTACAGGAGCTTAGTTCCGTCACTGCCTGCTTTCCAAGGGCAGACAGGATATGCACAACACAAATGCGCCCATGGAGGTAACCAGATTTACATTGTCCGTAGTCTAGTGTGTTTAAAGTAATGTTTTCCCTGGATGAATTCATCCCTCTTCGGAATTCAATTAAAATACTACCGTTATGTCAAAACCTGCAGCGTCTGAAGAATGTTCTAATTCAGACGAATTATTTGATTTAAAAACATTTGGTCATTACTTGCTAAATCAAGTTACAGGTACCCATTAGTGAGGACAGTAAAAAACAAATCAAGAACTCTTCTCATTCTTTCTTTTCTACTCATGTTCATTTCACTAGCTGCTTTTAACTTTATATGTAAAAAATACAGTATTGAGTTTTATGCACAGTATGAAACTTTATTATCACCTCCAAGAGCAATGACTTTTGTATCTGCCTGCAGATACAGCAAAACAGCAAAATGACAGGGTATCAGACAAGACAAAAATCTTCAGAACTTAATACAGTAGCATTTTAATGTAGGAATTTTGATCAAGACCTCACATGGAAGATATATTGAAAGCATCACCAAAAAACACCCCAAAATATAATGAAATAAATGAGGAGGAATGAAGCTTCAGTTTTTCTTTCATGACTAACACAGTCATTGCACGTCATTTCCGATTTAAATGCTGTTTCTTGCAGTGACGCAAGGAATTCTCTATTTCAGTTTCTTTTATCTGTTCCATACTGCCCTGACTTCAGCACAGTGACGTGTGATCTACTGATGTTATTATAAAAGAGCAGTAACTCTATATGTACACAACACAAAGTAACATCAGAATTCTTAAATATCGATACAATGAAGGTGGCGTAATACTCAATAGGCTACAATATCTAGGGACTCGCCCTCTTCTGAAGTTGTTTGTAGCCTCTGCTACCTTTTACACCTTCTCCGGCTCACCGTGTACCAGAGTCAGAAG